GGCTCAAAAACCTGCTCTCGGTCCCCAGCTTGGCACAGGGGTCCCTCAGTCACCACCGATATCACAGGGCTGTCTGCAGAGAAGGCAAATTTGGGGTTTATTTTTTTCCTTTTAAGTTAGCTGGTTTCTGAGGGGAGGGGCGGGGGAAATAATAGTAATTTTTTTCAAAAAAAAGTCACTCTTCTCTTCAACCCACTAGCTAAAGTTGGTCCATTTGGGAGAGCCTCAGAGCTCAGCCCGTGGCTGCTACCTGCAAATGAAGGATGTGAAAAATCCCCCACTTGGGTTGCGATTTACCAGACCTGAAAACGCTTCTAGAAAATGCAAACCTGCTCATAATTGCCTTCTCCCCGCCGCCGCGCCGAGAACGCTTCTGCTTCCTACACACCTCTGTTGTCACCGTCGTTATTATTCCTCTGTAATTGCTGCAGTAGCCCCAGAGACATCGCAGCGGGCTGCGACCTGCTCTGCTCGGCATGAACACACACACCCTGCAGGAAGATTTTTTTCCTCTCTACAAATCCAGTCCAAAAATTCATTTCTTCCAGGAATCACAGAATGGTTTGGGTTGGAAGGGACCTTCAAGATCACCTTGTTCCGATCCCCCTGCCATGAGCAGGGACACCTTCCACTAACCAGGTTGCTCAAAGCCCCATCCAACCTGGCCTTGAACACTTCCAGGGATGGGGCAGCCACAGCTTCTCTGGGCAACCTGTTCCAGTGCCTCACCACCCTCAGAAGGAAGAATTTTTTCCTTAGACCTCACCAAAATCTCCCCTCTTTCAGTTTAAAGCCATTGCCCCGTGTCCTGTCACTACACACCCTTGTCCAAAGCCCCTCTCCAGCTTTCTTGTGTCCCCTTTAGATACTGGAAGGTCTCCCCAGAAAAACCAGTATCATCACACTTCCCTCACAAGCCATCTCTAAACACCTGACAGTCCTTTACAAGTTGTGTTATGTTTTTCTAATGTTACGTGGGAACATTAGCAAGAAAACAATTTTCCTCTGCTTTTGCAAAGCTCCGTGTAAACCAAATATATTCAACTGTTTCTGTGTTGTTGTTCGAAAGCGCTGAAGGACGCCCAGAGATTTGGCAGGGATGTTGTTTTATTACCATTTGAATGCATATGTATCAATCAATATTAAGACCTATTAGTGATAATCACTGAAAATACAAGACTGTGTTTTAAAGACAGCCAATTGTACCTTAAATTGAAATCTTCTGGAGACAAGAACAATGTTTTCATCTGTGGAGAGCCCACATAACCAACACATATTAGCTCTACTATAAAAGAATATTAAAAAATGGCATGGAAAAAATTGGCTGCTTTGTGTCTTTTTTTTTTTTTTCAGTTGGGATGAGTTCTGAGCCATGGACAAGCAACTGCCTTTGACAGGCCAGCCAGTCCTGGCCGAGGGCTCTGGGCATTACTCCTCTCCACCTCCATCTTCTGGGCTTTAGTGCTCATTCACAGGCAGGCACATCATTTACTCTGCAGTGCCCCGTTTCCCTTGCCCTGCTCTGTTTGAAGGACATTTTTATCCTTTCACCATCAAATGGCTCCTGCCTTCCATCTATCACCCTTTTTTTATTTTGGGGCTGCTCCCAGTCTTTCCAACTTCACTATTCCACACTGATGTTCTCATATCCATGCAACTTGTTCCAGAATCCTTGCAAGGAAATTCAGCGTTCAGCAGCTGTTTGTAGAGCTAAGACCAATGAAGGTGTAAACAGAGACCATCGAATAAAAAAAATAGCAACCAAAAACCCCACCTTGCAACAACTGGAACAACAAGAAGGTAGTTCTGCATTTCAACTATGGAAAAAACTCTCCCATGAGAGGAGACCCTAAACTCCTTCGTCTCACTCTTGTGCAGACTGAGAGCAACCCACCAGCATCAAGGTGGTGTAAAAGCAAGAGAGGATCTGTCCCAGTGCATGTCGGGTGAGCACAAAAGCCTGTTAATTTAATGCAGGTGAGTAAAGAGGGAGAGAATGCAATAAATGTAGATGAGGAAAAGCAACATCAGAGCAGCACAGAAAGCATCCCGATGAGATGGAGGGGACCAGAAGCATCGTGACGATACCCTGGGAGGGGAGTGAAGCTCAAAGCTCACCTGTCTCGTTAGAGAAGCAGGTTTTATGAAACTTCCCCATGTAAAACTCCAGCCCGATGATGGCAAACATCACAATGGCGAAGAAGAGGAGCAGCCCGATCTGAAGCAAGGGCACCATCGCCTTCATGATGGACTTGAGGACAACCTGCAAGCCTGTGGGGACAAGGAAAAACAGGTGATCAGTGAGGGAAGGAAAACAAGGGTTTAGGGGTGGGAGCGAGGTAGGAGAAAAGGGGGTGTCTAAGGGAGAGTTTAGGACTGGCAATACCAAGCAACGGTGCTTTTCCCAGGGTTCTATAAAAAAGATGCTGCAGAGATAACACACTCGAGATGTGAGACACACAGCCAGGACAGCTATCTTTTTCTGACCTCTCTTCTTCAGATCACAGATTCAAAGATCTTTCCAGCTTCAGAGACACTAAAAAGACTTTTCTTAAAGCCAGCAGAGTCCCAAAACTCAGCCTGGAG